GTTGGTACCTCTCTTTAAGTAACCCTTCACTATCCTCCCTACAAAGGGTATATATTGACGCTCTCGTGTATATCTCTCAATGCATATCAGCATATATATATATATATATATATATATATATATATATATATATATATATATATATATATATATATATATATATATATATATATATATATATATATATATATATATATATATATATATATATATTAATATATATATATATATATATATATATATATATATATATATATATATATATATATATTATATGCTGATATACATTGAGAGATATACACCGAATTTAAGAAAATCCAAAATTTTCCACTGTGTATACAAGAGGGTTGTAAACACCTTGGGTATATAGTCAGGACAGTGTCACTGTCCAAGGCCGGCACTTATTATTATTATTATTATTATTATTATTATTATTATTATTATTATTATTATTATTATATTATATATATTATTTAAGTGTCAGTTACTTCAGTTTGTGCCATTGATATGCAGCTGCCTGTTGCTTGCTGCTGTTCCTCCTCTGGTGGCCAGAATTTGGTTTTGTCACTCAGGTATTGATGTGCGACACTCTGTCACCTGGGTTACAGTTTACTACCTTCCAGTGACCTGATTATGTGAATCCATCACTGGTTTAAACTAGGAGGAGACATTTAGAGCAGTCATTCTCTGAGCATCCTATCCTCGCAAATTATATGTGAATTTATTACACAGTTTACAGTTAGTCTCTCGAATTACATCATTTTGGTTAAGTTTAGTTAGGCGTGATTATCGTTTAGCAACAAAAATTTAAGCAATGCCTTAATCACCTCCAATGACCTCCAATCAAGCCTCCTTCCTCTAGCTATCTTCCTACAGTTTCCTCTGACTCCAACCTACTTACATTATCCTGCTTCACCCCTGGAGCTTCTCTCTCTTCCCATCACAGCAAAATCTGAATACAAGCCACTCCAGGGGCATATAAATAGTAAAATTATATTTAAGGAGACCTAGTCATGGACCGGGCCGCGGGGGCGCTGACCCCCGGAACACCCTTCAGGTATAAGGCTGAGAGAAAAGATGAGAACTCACAGCGACAACAATGTTCGTGAGTAAATCGACAGAAAATTCCACAACCAAACAAGGGCTTAAATACTGAAATGATGACTGAGGAAGTAACGAGCCTCCTGAAGGAACATCATACATACATGGCAACAGCGCCTGACGGAATTTTGATATGAATGCTGAGAAAAGCAGCTGAAGTTCTGCACAAGCTGCTGGCATAAATCTTCAACACATCCATAGAGACACATAAAGGAACTGACTGATGGTCAAACTGGTGTTTGAGGTAAAAGAAAGCAAGACTACAGAGAGTATAAGCACGATGCTCAGTATACTCCGTGGTTGAGACAAGATGAACACAAATAGGTTTTTAATACCTGGGAATCGAGAATAACGACATAAAAACTTGTTGGACTGAGCTACAGATATACCATCAAGCATTTCTTCATGGAAGGATAGTTCTGAAGAGGAACGAGACAGATAACTTCTGAGTTACAAAATAACTTATAAGTTACGTAATAACTTCCGAGTTATATAATAACTCAGAGGTTGACTTCGTACTAGACTTTCAAATAAAATATACTTAATTTACATCAATCAAAAGGTAAGGAACAGGTGCAAACACTTAGCTCAGCGTCCTGCAAGCTAATTATAAACCCTAGCACATACACTGTTTTGGTTACCATTACTGGGAACCACAACGATATTGATCGTGAGAGACTATGATCATCTTCGTGTGGAACATTCTGGACACTACCTATCCTCCATACTCTCCACACTGTTTAGTAATATTTATTTTTAAAGTGGTTGACGGGTAAGCCACTGGAAGGCCTCGGGCAGATGACCAAAAGCTCAAGTGACGAATCATGCGACTGAGACCCGCTCCAGGAAATACTTGTCCTGTTTCCTGACGAATCTTACCTGTGACCTAACTGTTCGGAACTGTCCACCCTGTCCACACTCTCTTTACAGTCCACACTCTCGTATGATCGTATCCAAACTATATTTACTGTTTTCATTGATCACACTGTCCAAGGGACCAGGAACCAATAAAATTTGTCGATTGTAGGTTAGAGTGCTAGTTCAAGGAGCCCAGACTTGAAGCCCTAAAATATAAATCAGTGGGTAACACACACACACACATGAATGAGAGAAACAGAGTATAATAAATGGGAGCAAGAAATGTGATCCAGATGAAATTTCACAATACATATATATATATATATATATATATATATATATATATATATATATATATATATATATATATATATTATAATATGGTATTGATCGATAACAAAACTGCACTAGTCAAGCGTATGTCCCGATCTAGTACACCCTAGCTCTGCTGGGGTTTGATTCTGAGGATTGTGCCAATGGGTTAGACGTAGACTCATGTGTTTTTCGCCACCATGAGCGCCAAACACATGCTCGAGTCCCGCTAGTGCATGTGTATTGATATATCACTCGTTTGGTTACAATAAAAAATACTGTCGTTGAGGCTAGTACACAACGAGTAAATGATTACGGCACCCCACCCATGTCCTCGGATCAAGGTAACACACCTAGCTCTGCTGGGTGCTTGGTTCTTGTAGGATTTGGTGGTCCTGTGGGTTAGAGCGTCATGTTTTTTCGCTCACCATGAGGCGGGCCAAAACAACACGGGTTCGAGTCCTTGGCTAGTCGCAGTGTTGTTATATCAATATATATATGTTAATATATATATATACTAGTTATGATAATAATATACACACACACATGAGAGAGAGAGAGATAGAGAGAGAGAGCAACAGATATGTTTGTAAATAATTCCGCCTGCTTGGTGAATTGTTTTAGGCATTTTCAAACTCTTCTGTTTTCCCACCTGTATGTGGCAGGATTTGATGAAATGTTTATGATAAACAATCTGAGTGCACCCGGGGTATGGGGAAACATGTCTAATTCAGACTAGGGGCCCATAGCTAATCTGGGATCTTGCTCCGTGGTAAAGTACTGTGTACTTTGATACAGTTTGCAGGTTCGAGTCCTGCAGTGGACGTAGAGACAATGTTTGTAAATAATTTTGCCTGTTTGCGAGTTTCAAGATATATTTTTTTCATTTATGTTAATTTAAAAATTAATAATTTTGTACCAAAATAGACCTTAGAAAACTTACCTAACCTATTATAACAAGCACAATTTAATTTAGCCTAATCCAACTAAATGTATTTTAGATAAGTTTACAATAATTTAATAAGAAACAAAAACAATAATTTTTTTTTCGTTAGGCTCAGAATGATTTTTGGGAAATTATTGCATACATAAATTTTCCCTTTTCTTATTCGGCAAGAACAGCGTTGGTATTTAAGCCAAAATCGCAAGTTTTACCTATTCGGCACGAATATATATATACCCGTTCCACCAACCTTTACCCCAACTGTACCACCCACCTAAAATTCAGTATCCCACCTGCCACCTCCTACCTTCAACTTCTCTCCTGTCTTAGAAAAAAACCTCATTGTTTTCCATTTCCCCAGGCATTGTAAGACCCCCATAGGTTTAGCGCTCCTCCAGGAATGTAATAATAATAATAATAATAATAATAATAATAATAATAATAATAATAATAATAATAATAATAATAATAATAATAATAATAATAATAACAATAATCTTTAAATTCTAAATCTAAGGTACTACTAGGGTGAGTCTTGGTTTTTTATATGGGGTGGAGAATTTAGCTTCAAGTCTTATACATGAGGTGCACCGGTAAGCCAGTGGAAGATTTTATACTCATGACCAAACAATGCAGTTGGAGAGTCATCTTGTTAGTAAGAGTGACGTCAAAGAGAAGTTTTCCCAGCTTTCCTGATAACCAACAATCACCTCCTCCCTTCCTTCCCGTACACTCGTCATCACTAACATCGTAACTCATCAAAAACAACTTCAGTTTCTGTTGACAGTCTAAAGAAAGCTGGTTAATTAAATTTTTTATGAAGAATGTGAAGAAAATTAATGATGTGTATAACATGAAATATTTACCGAGGACTACCAAGTGATAAGAGAGAAAGATAATATAGAGAAATCAATCTAATAAAACTTCATGACAGGTTAATGAAAAATCAAAATTGAATAGGGATGCATGGGCAGACTGCATATTTCTAGATTGCCAGAAGTCCTTTAACACTAACTCTCAGAAGAACTCGCAAAGTGAGAAGGTAGAGTCCCCAGAGCTGAAAGTCAGACCTCCAATGAGCTGGAACCTATTAGAGAGGCAGTGTGGGCAAACTACTGACAGAACACAGATGAGAGACACTCACCAGGCTGCTCCGAAAGATGAGAGGGCAGGGCCATAAGATGAACCTCAGTCTTTTAAAGGCACAAAAAAAGTTATTACATTTATATGACATGCAGCAACATACATAAACAATATTCAATATACAGTCTAACCCTTCATTAACGTCATATATCGACGTGTTGACTCAAGAGACATAGTTTCTTAGGTACAATTCTACACGATATTGTGTGATTACGATGGTCTTACACTGTACTACAGTAGTGCGCATATTAACTGGGATGATGAAATACGACATTTATTTGATAAATTAATGTTTATTTGAAAGATACACGACAGTGATATAATAGATAATTGATTTAATAAGAGATATGACTATCCTTAACTTTCAAGCATTGCTACACGCTTTAGAATAGAATCGAAGAATGTGTAACATATTTTGGCAAATTCTTCGTCGTGGTACCAGGTCCTAATAATAGCAGCAGTTAGCTTCTCCACAGTTGAACAGTCCTGCTTCTCTATCCTGCGTTTCATTATTGCCCATAAATTCTCAACTAAGTTGAGGTCAGGAGAGTTTCCAGGCCAATTTAAAACGCTTTGCCCACTCTCTCCGAAGAATGTCAGCTAAAAAAATGGCTTCTCCACCAGGAAAGTCTCTCTCCACAAC